CATATACAAAGAGATTTTTTACCATTTGACACAAAGATGTTTGATTGAGTAATCATTTCTAATGTGACAAAATTACATTTCCCACATTCTTCAAAAAAAAAAAGTTGACCAATTTCAATTATTACATTAATTTGATTACTAAGATTATATTAGTGGTTTGGTTAGATTCCAAAATAGAAACTAAACATTTGGTCAAATTTCTTGTGATTCTAACAGGTAATGTTGGATCAAAGACTAAACATTTTATTCACAAGTTGGTTTGCATTTTAAATGCATAATTTAGAAAAAAATTCTACTTTAAACCATATTATTTTAGTAAATTAAGTAGATAGAAATTTATTTAGCATATTAATAAAAGTTTAGTGACCCCCAATGTGTAAAATCTTTTGGCACTATAGTCCGATAAAGCTTAACATCCGCATTTAGCAGATTTAACTACGATCCGTAGAGAATAGACCAAGATTGGGTTAGAACAAAGAAACTTGAGATTCAACACCTCAAATAGTTAACGGAATAGTTAGAGGAAATTTAATATTATTGATAAATCCTTTATTATATGGTAACCCCCCGTGAACGAGTTTCCTCACACACGGCTACAAATCAACACATTATCTTCCACCATTTTTCACTAAGAATACAAACTACACAGATAGTTGTAAACTTACCATCTCAAACACGAAACACCAAAGGAGATGGTGAGGAAGAGTCATCAGAAGTTAAGTTAAAGCTATAAGAAACTTTTGAATTGGCGAAAGGACGTGAAATGTTAAGACCATAGTCACCATGGAAGAGTGAAGCTTCAAAAAATCCATCAGTATCAGTTAAACCTGTGCTTTTCCCACCAAGCCCTCCCCATTCACGCAAAAGTTTGTCCACGACCTCTCCGGTGGGTAGGTTCTTAAAGGTTCCATCGGTGAGGCACATTACGAAGCAACCTGATGGACTATAACCTGCCCAAGTCACCATTCCTTTCACTTTCGGATGCGCGTGGCCTTCCCTTAGGACCTGCTCGAAATACTTGCCCTGCAAGAAACCCGAACATCAAAACAGAACGGAACAGAACGGGACGGGATTTTTGGTAGCTTTTATATTTGAGAGTTACCTGGACATTTGGAGGAGCTTTGACATCGACCTCAGTGAGCCAAATAGGCAAACCAGTGGCAGCAAGAGTGTCAAGAGCTGATCTCATATACGGAATGTTAGGAATACCGAAATGAGACTCAAGACCGATCCCTAAAGGAATTTTTCCGGCAACCCGAATAGTTTGAAGCTCCCTAAGCTTCTGCAAATACCTTGCTGGACTAGAAGCTAAATCCATTGGTCGCTCTAATGTATTATATTCATTCATATACATTGTTGTCTTTGGATCATTTGCATGCGCCATCGCGTAGATTTGATTCGAGGCATTAGGACCTAGCTTGCTCTCAAAGAAAGAGAAATGGAGATTCTCATTCATGACATCCCAACCCAAAAGCTGGCCTTTGTATCGCGAAACCACCGAGGAAACCCTTTGTTTCACGGCATTGTAAAGATCCTTANTAGACAGAGATTTCACCCATTGAGGTTGATACTTACCGTCGTCCCATAAAACATTGTGCCCACGGACAGCAATACCATGCTGCTTGAAGAGTTTCAGCATTGCGTCTGCCTCCGAGTAAGTTTCTTGGCCTCTTATTCTTTCCGTGCTGTACCATTTCATCTCGTTCCCGAACGTTGTCACAGTGAATCTTTTAGTGAACCAGTTTAGGTATGCTTTGTTCCCAAGTATGTTCTTTTCTACAGAACACCCGAATGGGAACCCTAGTCTATTCTGTGCGATGGAAATGGTTGCGTTTGGTACTGGCTCGCCTTCGCTGTTTACGGCTTTGATCCTCACGGTTTCTTTTCTCGCCTTGAGAATGCTCTGCTCCTGGTGAGAGTTCCACTCTTCTTGTGTGAATGGTTGCAACGATACACTATCAACCCAAATCTCAACCATTGTGTCCTCGCTCTACAACATGACGAGGGATTAATACAGTAGAATTTCAATAAATTAATAACTTGGTCGATAAATCACTAAATTTAACCAGTCCTAAATTGGTTTTTGGGTATA